GTCTTAATTCTTCTTTCTAATTACTCTCTTCTTAATGCAAATATTTTATGCTCCGTGTATTCCCGAGGATTACCATGAAATGTAAAGGTAAACCGGTAAATGTTAGTAGCAAAGCGAAATCCAATAAAACGCTGGACATAATCAACAGATGAATTGCAAATATATAGAAATTGTAAAGTTTGCTAAGCGGCATTATTATGTTAACAGTGAGTATTTCTTTCTTTTATTTTTAAAGATTTTTTACAATATTTTAGTAAAAGACGAAAGCTCAAAAATACTTCCTCGAAAGAGTGAGACGAAATTATTTACGTGTACGCAATAACGATACGTTAATTTGTCATCTCAAACGTTTCAATAATTTATTCCACTTTATATTCACGTAACAGAATTTTATTCACATGGTGTTTATATCGCAAAAGAGTCAACTGCATTTCCTTCTCAACAATGCTTATTAATAATAATCATTAGCGCGGAAAAATGAGCATTTTCACTACGTTATTTTGGCTATCTCTTTATTGTACATAATTGCGCGTCGGAAATTCGATCCAGGCGCATCCAGGCTGTTATTTTACAATGGAGCACCAATGAAGCGGATTATGACAGACAATAACAATTTGTGCATCCGATAATTAATAAACATATGCTTTTTCCACTATTCGAAAATAAAATGATATTTTTCTAAAATGAATAAATTGAAAGACTTCATCAGCAAGTTATCGTTTATAGAGGGTCGAAACGCAAGAAGCGATTCGCAAACGTGTTCCGCTGATCCCAATTTTTAACCCTTTTAAACTAGTTGGTCAGAAAAGAACGGGAAGACGAAAAGATTAAAGTGAGCGTCAGTACGATGAAGAGATGACGAGGGAAATGACACGGCTTTACCTCGGAGGAAAGGTCTCGCGATATAAAGGGCGAGGGCAGTAAGACAGCAATCTACAGCTCGGTCCACCGAGAGCTGTAACACCAGTAGAATCGAACTTGTAATAAGGTACGTCTCGCCCACTCACCAGAACTCGATTGCTCTCCGGGGACGACGCCGCCGACTCTTGTCTTCCCTACCTTCCTCCTCCTCCTCCACTTCCTCGTCCTTCTCCTTCTCCTCTTCGATAACCTTTCCGTACTACGTATTTTCCGGACTAGCGTAAAGGGAAGAAGTTTAGGAAGTTACAAGGCTACTTCGCGTTACGTTTTCCCGTTATCGCCATTTCCTTAAGGTTACACCGGCGTGTCTTTGGAATTTCAATCTGCGTGCAAACCAAGATTCTCTATCCTTCTTCTATTCTTGACAGAATTATTCTTTCTTTGGAAGAGGATACCGATTCCATTTGTCAAAAGTAGATTGGTACCCAGGAAAAGTACGTCCATTTTTTACGTCTTATCTGCGCGAGTTCCATGTTTCGAAAAGTTATTGCAGCCAAATAAACCAACTGCACCGATGAGAAATATTTGTAACTGCACAACTTTTCAGGTGAATTATTTGAGTAATAGTTTTCCCCCGATAAATCTTTTTTGTTTATTACTCGTAATAGAAGTGAGATATTAAATACATACGAGTATAGAGTTACATGGATGAAAGTTACGATTATTTTTTATGTGTATGTATACTATTGATTGAGATCAGCTTTTAATGTTATTTATAATATACGTAATTTTATAAATAACGCTAGGAACTAATTATAATTAAAAATGTCCAAACAATAATTATTTTTTAACGCTTTTATATATATGTATATATAATATGTAATAAATGTATTAAATTTTATTCTTGTTCCAGTACGTATTTACTACATTTACAAAGAAAACATCAAGATGATCTCAATTTATTAAGGAAAATGTAATATAGGAATCATTAGAGAAAAGAGAGAGAGAGAATTTATCATGCAGAAAATCAGATCGCGCGTAAACGACAGTAAAATAACAAGCGTTTTATATAATATTCGCTTATCTCTCGTGCTCGACGTTACTGGTAATGCACCGTACGATAATTATATTAATTTATATAGAATCAATATTAAACACATCCGGGAAATGTATTTTTAATGAAGTAAATACGTAGATGCATAATGTGCCGCGCGCTGAATATTACATATCGCAGGAAATAGATACTCGTAATGTAACGATACATGTGAAACCCGCAAAACTGTATTGCGACCCGCGATAATTATTCGAGATAATGAGGGAAATTCATGATTGCCAGTTTGCGAGGATCTCCGTGTTAAAAAAAAAGAGAGAGTCATTAGTGAATACACTCCGACGAAGTAACTATAGTTTGTTTTAAAAGAAGAATGATTTCATTCACACACACACACACTTTAAGGATCAAGATAACAACACGTTGTTAAACGTGTGGATAACAGATTTATAAATTAAAAAAAACCATTAAAAGAGGCAGGCAAATTCAAAGATTCAACGATGCTTCCGTTTGAGTGAAATGCTAACGAAGTCGATAGAGAAGGAAACTTCACGTATTTTTCTCACGTAGTGATCGGAATGGAGAAATCTCGTTCTTGATCGAAGCCATTGTCGCTGACGGCGATGCGAGAATTCGCAACATCGAACGAAAGACTCGAACTGATTCGACCGCCGCGAGAATGCATCAATATAACAGCCACAACAAAGACTGCAGCATTAAGGAATAATGAAAGGACATCCACACTTTGCTAAAGAAAAGGGTGGAAAAGGTGTAGATAACGACGGATGGCTCTTCCGCTGGCGGTCTTATCTTACGCCATGACGCCTCTTGCGTTTTCATTAAAAGACCGCCCGTCCTCTTGTTCTTGTTCCCGCTGCCGTCAACCCCCTCGTAAAAGGCATGCCACCCCTTGAAAAATAAAAGTCGCAACAAATGTCAGCTAAGACACTCGATTCCCTTGGCATTTTTCCGCGACTTTCTTGCCGCAGCCGAGCGGCGCGATCGTTGCGCGAATTTCATTAAAATTTTATTACATAGCAGGACGAGAGGACGGAACGGAAACGTGACAAACGTTATTACTACGTGCTTAACATTTATTAATTGTTAACTAATCGATACACTAAATCAACCAACTAAAATATAATCAAAATTATATCGATACTTTTATTCACGGATGTCAATTAAAATATAAATTTATAATTATAAATCAGTCACTTCCATTCCCGCAATTTAATCTTCTTATTCTTCTCATTTAATTTATATTGGATCTTCTCATGTTAAATATTTTTAATAGTATTTTCACATAGTATCCCGTTTTGTTTTGGAAGAGAAAGGCTCTTATTTAAATTTAATTAATTAGAGAATCTTAAAAAATGTAAACGTTCTATATTTAAAACACAAACATAAAAAACTAACATGTATATTGGAAAATACATTTATTGAGTACACACGAAAGTTCATATGTCTTTTACTCAAACATCGCGTCGGAAGAAGAATATCGCTTGCTGTTCTAATGCTGTAGACTATCGATAGTTGCTGTTACGTGTGAGAGTGAGAAGGAGTCAACTCGTGGAACAACGAAGGGGAGAAGGGTAATCCCTATTGTTTCTCCTGTCCCATAAATCCTACTAGCGCTTCCTACGCCTCTCTAGAGCTCCGCTCGCGCTTCGACCATATACAGAGCCATCAGCCCTTCACCACTTTCTACCAACCCTTCCTCTTCAGCAACATGCTCTGTAAATCTCTGACCAGCTGTGCTTTACGATACGTACGCGGTTCTCGTAAAGATACAAGAGATCTTATTCGTCGTTGAACTGACGTTGTTGAAACTGTTTAAAAATCAATCTTATCATTTCGAACATATTATAGATAACATCAACTCTAATAACACTTATTATTTAGTATTAGTAATTCCAAAGAAGACTAGTCTTACTCTCTTTAACTGACGTAAATATTGTACTTCTAAATCTTCGTTAATTCTTTTAATATTTTAGTTAAAAAAAAATAAAGAACAAGATAGTTTTTTCATTTTAGGCTATTAGTTGTAATATATTGATTATAATTTATGATAATATTGTGTGCGATTAACTCATATAATAATTATACTGTAGCTACATAATATTAACTTTATTCACAGTTAATAATATACGTAATTTGATTGTACATAGCGTAACCACATTACATGAATTAATAATATCGTCATAAGTTTATTAAATGATCAGAATTATATATATATATATTTTTTTTTAAGAAATTTCATTTTGTAACGTTTATTTAATTTGTGGAGAAAAACAATTGATGAATGATTTCCATAGAATTGACCATAAAATAAAATATTAATCCTGGACATTTAGACTTGCTATTTGTAGATATATGTTGTTAAATATTTGCCACTAATACGAAATGATTTATCAAAAATATTTGATATTCGATATACATACAATGTTCTCTTCTATTCGTCACACTGAGATGAAGTTTCTTGGAGATATCCTTTATATATGTATCGCGCAAGACATTTCCATAACGGCATTTACGATTTCTGAGGCTTTGACAAGGGTGCTTTGCACCTCTAACACGCCCAGGGGTTTACTATGAGGTCTTATATCAAATATAGGTTACTTCGATCGTCAGTAAGCCGCTTAATTTATGACAGCGGCTTCACTAAATAAGATGCTTTACTAAAGCTGCATGTTTACTGTACTCCTTATCCGACAATATAATTCTGATTTGATCTCATCGTGAGAAAAGATCACTATAAATATTTAAAAACTACAAACTTGAATTTTAATTATACGAGTTTTTATGAGTTATTATGAGTTAATCAACATAAAGAAATTAAGAAAGGTATATAAATTTATAAATGCTAATAAACAGTATATAAATTAAATAAAATCAATATAGAAGTTTAAACTAACTATATACAATATACATATAATATACATATATCTAATCTAATTCACAATTTTATTGAATTAAATTAAACCGGGTTATTTAACTCAATTAGATTAAATTGTAAATTATTTATTAGATTAAACTATATATTTTATTAAAACACAATTTTTTTAACCCAATCTTTTTTGCGTTTCAGATCGAAGATGCTATGCTGATGTTCGATAAGCAAACTAACAGGCATAGAGGTAAGTACACTTTTACTCTCGTTTCTTTCTTTAACATGTCACATTGTTACGAAAAAAACCGTTGCAATTTCATTACGTGCAAATGTGTCAGAAATACATCTGAAACTATCCTATTTAACGAGTCAATAATGTCGCCATTCCGCTGGCGCGGAGGTAATTAACGAGCCCGAGTTGAAGCTATAATTAGTAATCACGGTAAATCGCAAGTCGTGGTAAATACGGGGGAAGATAAATAACATAAATTTCCGGATATGTGCTGCCTACACGAATCGTGACGGCATTTTGCGAATTCACGGTACGCGGATCGATATTCGCATAAAAGAACTTATTACGAAACATGAAGGAACGCGTGATTAGGAGAGAACAAAATAAAAAAGTGCATGTTAAAAAAGTAATCCTTATTGCGCGTTTGAAACCTCAAGAGATTAAACGTTGCGCTAAAAGTTTCTTACATTTATGAAATGATTAATGGTCATAAATTTTGTTTTCCATTGCGATCTTGTAATTAATTTTTAAAACTGTACGTACTATATATTTTTATAAAATATATATTTTTATATAAAAGACAAAGTATCTGTTTCATTTAATGAAAAAAATTTGTCACAGTGCTAATAAAATGCTTATGTGGTTATTACATACGTATGCCAATAATAAGTAGGAAACAAAAATTGTTCTCAGAAAGAGATTAATCAATCGTCAAATAAGTTTAATAATTTATTAATCCACTAATGTGAATTTAATCAACTGAAGCTATTTTCATGATATCAATCAATTCATTCTCCAATCTTTAAATTTTTCATTTTTATCCATCTCCTTATTTATATTCCTTCTTGCATGAAAGTGTGAGAAGGAGCCAACTCATGGAACAACGAAGGTCCCATAAATCCTGCTAGCGCACTCCTCACATTCTTACCAAAATTTAATGTAGAAGTGGAAGGTCATCAAGATTAAAAGCCTTCGATTTCAAATAAAATAGACGCGTCTAAGAAATTTTTACGCGGCACTTTGCTAACGCGGTAGGGGTGAGGAGATGGAAACGTTATTGAGATCGCTCGAGGAGCGCATGCCCAATTGAAAATCGACTGAACAGGGAAGAAGGGTGGAGAGATCGAGAGGTCGCGATGAATGAAATATCGCGGCAACCGCGATAATATATAGGGCAGCTCGACTCTCAACCGTTCTCCGCTGTCGAGAGCACAGCGGGCTTTGCGATCGGCACAAGTCTGGATCCATTCACTTCGCCACTCCAATGGGGTCGATAATCGTCAGCGATCGCGACCCCACCTCGCAGATAATCGGGAGAAGGGGGAGCTTTCTCTCTCTCTCTCTCTCTCTATCTTTTTTATCGATACCTACCACCTTCATAGCTGTCGTTTCTAGAGCGGAGGCGAGCGTCTGGTCGGGCACCGATGATAGATTCTAATATCGCTTATGAAAAATAGGGGCAAATGGGATATGAGAGCTGGCGCCTTTCGGTATGGGGGTTCTTCCTACCCCGACCGAGTTGCTGAAGAGGACCGAGGGGGAGGGGGAACACTGAAAGTGCGTCGTGCATCGCGCGAACGGTGAGGAAGTAGGAGTAGCTGAAATAGCGACGCGCGAATCGACGCTGGTGGATGAAGAGCGCAGGAAGAAGGGTGAATGGAAGTGGAAGTGAGATAGGGGGCTCTTTCAAAGCCGCACGTAATCTCTCTCGTGATGACATCCAATACCGTCCCCATACGACGAGAGTCTGCGAACCTCAAACCTCGAACTGCTACTGCTTCTACCGCTGCTGCTGCTGCTCGCCGGTAGATTTCGCGATATCGCACTTCCTGTACCCGTGGTCCCTCACCCTTAAGGGGATCATTCTCAGATTCTTTGGTAGACATACCGTGAGAAATTTTAAACGAAATACGCGCGACGAGGATACATTTATTATGTCGTACTTGATATTTTTGATCGGCCAGTCTCGCGCTCTGAGCCAGTCTGAGCGAAAACTCACACACACACACACACACACATACATATATCTTCATGCTTATAACAAAACATATTCTAAAAATGCTTTACTTAATACTTCGATCATCTTTCGAACTGTAAATTTTTGTTCAAAATTTGTTTTATTCAAAAGACGTGACAACCCCGACCTACGTCTCCTCTAATAAATATAATATCTACAAATAGTTTGTCGGTGATTTAGAACCTGAATAAAAAATTATTTCAATAAGAATATTATTTTAATAATTGAGACATATGTTTTGAAAAAACTAATAAAATAAAAAATTTTTCGTTCAAACTATAAAAATTCATTGTTCAATGTAAATATTGACCTTATTAAACTGTTTTATATGTATATTGTATTATACGGAAGGTATAAATTTTCAATTTCAGTCACTTTGCAGATACTATACACCTGATACACATCTTTAAAGTATAGATATAATTTTATAACAGATTCAATTTTTTACTTTCGAAATCTAATTTAAAGAAAACTTAGTGATAAGTTTATATTTGAACAATTTTGTCTCTCGATCTGAATAATATTTATCAAGAGCTCTTTTATTATACTTTTTAAAAACTAAATTACACATTTGCTTAATCTAGTTGTACATATAATTTTTTTGGTATTTTTAGCAATACCAGTAATTACCTTCTGCGACACTTATTTAGTTTTAAATTCATTCCTCGGTGATTGTAATACTTTTTTCAAGTATACTCGATTTCGATCTGCGTCCGATCGACGCGGGGCGCGTCTTCTCGAACGTCGCCATCGAATTACAAGGAGATCCTCAGACAATCTTCCGGGAGGTCTCTTTACGCTCAAATCCCCGAAGAGGCAGTCGGCTAGCGGCCGTCTCACCCCTCTTACCACCCATCCCTTTACTACGTTGTGGGAGGGAGAAAAGAGAACTCCGCCGAGAACAGCCCGGCAAGCGTTTCCGGACAATTTCGAATCCCGATGGCTCCCGCAGCGAGCTATGATTTCCACGTGGATGGGCAGGCTGCGATTGCAGCAAAGCTCTCCTCTCTCTCTCTTACCGCGACGGGGAGAGGCGCATCTATAGCTTGAAGCGCGATTATCCAAGCTTCGCTGCCCAAAGGATTTTCCCTCCGCGGGACTCTTCCTCCTCCCCGTATCACGCAAAATCTACGAGAGGCGGTAAGGAGGAACGAGCGCTTGTGTTCGTGCCTACACGTGTGAACTTGTACGTACATCTTCCCCGCATGACAGTGAACATACGCCGATTCACACGGAATGCTCATAAGTTGCGATCATATTGCCCGGCGAGAGTGTCTTCATAATAGCGACGTTCTGTGTGAATGTATGTGTGTATACACTGACCTGTATGTTCTTACTTGTTCGACGACAAGTCGGTCCTTCCGTTAGCCAGCGACCGTCCCCCAAAAGGAGGTCTCGCTTAGCCATGTATGAACACACGTCAAAGGGACGCTCTACTGTCGATCGTTTATTGGATCGTGTGCTCGCGTGCGCTTTGACGGTGGATTACCCACGTTTGGCCTGTCGTCGTTTAAACGTCTCCGCCGGACGTCGCTTATGGAAATCGGAATGTCTTCCACGAACCAGAAGCAAAGAGAAGACTCCTGAAATATGTTGAGAAAGACTCGTCGTTTCGTCAACGGTTGAATAATCGCACGATTTCCGTCGTCTATCTGTCATTTAACTCCTAACTAGACGACTTTATTTCGCAAAAGAAAACTTCAACTATACTACTAGAACTGTCCGGAAAATCTAACGCACCTCATACTATGTAAGTAAAGTGATTTTAATACGACGATCCTCCAAATACGTTTTTAAAATTATACTCGTGTGACGAGATTTTTATCAATTTTCCAGAAGAACAAATTTGATTTCTTAACAAGTTAAATTCTTCTAATTTACTTTTACCAAATCTACTTTTTTGACATTAATGAACGTTACAAGTAACAACACATTTCTCAACATAATTCCTGGATAGTTCTCTCGTAATCACTGACTGCTCGTATATTCAACGAGGCATTCTTAGTTTCGTATCGCATTAGCATAAGAATCGTAGCTAACCCTGATTACACGCCAGCGTGATCTTCAGCAAAGGTGGAAGAGAGAGAGAGAGAGAGAGAGAGAGAGAGAGAGAGAGAGAGAGAGAGAGAGAGAGAGAGA